TGTTAATAGATCATATAATAGGTATTCTCATGCTTTCATATTCTCCTCACATAACTTGATAAATAGAGCTTCTAGTACAACAAGATAATCATGCTCAATGAAAAATCTTAAGTCACACTTCTCCTTATGAAATCTCATATGATACTCTACTCACATACAATCTCGTGTAATGCGTTACATCGCTTTTATATGCAAACTCGTGCAATAATATAAACATACTAATATGCAATCTAGTATGGTAATATACTCATACTCATATGCAATCTCGTACAATTACAAAATCATACTCATATGCAATCTAGTGCAACAATATAATCATTCTCTTATGCACTCTAGTGCAACAATCTAATCATACTCTTATGCAATCTAGTGCAACAATATAATCATACTCTTATGCAATCTCGTGCAACAATATAATCATACTCTTATGCAATCTAGTGCAACAATATAATCATACTCTTATGCAATCTACTGCAATAATATAATCATACTCTTATGCAATCTAGTGCAATAATATAATCATACACTCATTTATAAGTTAGAGTACTTTCTGTGGAGGTTTCTTTGTTACTTTCTCGAGTCTCTCTTGACTCTCTTTCTTTCTCTCGAGTCTTTATTGACTCTCATACTTGAGTCTCTGTTGACTCTCTTTCTTGAGTCTCTGTTGACTCTCTTTCTTTCTCTTATACTCATAGACGGCTTAGGGTTTCACAGAAGTGTGACTCACCCCATCGGGAACGGCATAATTCCGACCCAATATCTCCTACCGTCTACGGAACCAATCTCGTGGTTCAAACTCTGCGGAATCAGGTATCGAACTATTAGTGTTCACACCCCCTAACCAAGATTCCAAGCCTGGCGGGAAGTTTCCAACCTCGTAACGTGGGAATACGCCGCGTTACATATACTGAGACCGCAATGTCCATAAATGTCTCCCGAGAGGAACATAGTCCAAACGGTATCCTCCAAAACCTCACCGGTATAGATAATACATAAATATATCTCTCATGCATCAATCTCATGCATGCAACAATTCTACTACTTCTCAATGCATCAGAGAATGATATACCACATGCTTATGGTTTTTGAAAGTATTCTTGGACTCACGTTGGCCCCTTATGCATTTTTGAAATATGACTCATGTGAAATGTCAAAATTCTCTATAAAATGCTTCTAAATCATGTATAAACTAATCATGAAGTATTCAAAAATATATCATCATGCTAGGTTTGTAACATAGCAATTGCTATACATTTCACTCAACAAATATGCTTCTATTCTCATTGATCAAATAATACAATTTAATCATACTTTCATAATAAATCATATTCTCAAAGAATCATGCTTCTTTACTCAATAAAATATCATCAGATCACAATAATCAAATAATTCTTCATACACAGTAAACTAGCAAGTTATTCACTGTGTAGCAATTCTTCACAAAATCTTTCATAACATACTTGTTTTTAATCCAAATTCAACAAAATCAAAGCCAAAACGTGCGTCGAGACGATCCCGAAGAGCCGAGCCACAAGGGCCCGTAACTCTCGGTCCGAAACGACACGTAGCTGAGCCACAAGGGCCCGAACACTGCACAAAAAATCCTTCACAGACAAAACTCAGGGACCTGGGGCGGGACTCTTCAAGGTCCGCCCCTGGAGCCCCGTTGATGCGCCGGGACTAGGCAACGGCCCTCCTCTAGGGCCGTGCCCTAGTCCTGTGCCACCACGGCTCTAGCCGGCGGCCCTTCTGATGGGCCGCGGCTAGGGCCGCCACTCTGATCTAGTGCACACTATGTTGTGCACTAGATGGCATTTCTCCTGCAAAATCTCATCCAAACAAGTCCAAAACAATCTCAACAACTCACAAACACATGCTTAGGGGTGTTAGCGAATAGAGCTTTCGGCAAACTACTCGTGTTCGTGTTCAGTAAACGTTCGTTTGTTAAGATAAACGAACCATTAACAAACAAAATTTAGAGCTCGGTTGATAAATGAACAGAGCTTGAACAGTTGTATGCTCGTTTGCTAAGAGATTGTGCACAAGCTCGTTTGTGTTCGTTTAATAATGTTCATGAACAAGATCGTTTGTGTTCGTTTAATAATGTTCGTGAACAAGCTCGTTTAGTATTTGTTTAATAATGTTCACGAACATGTTCACAAACATATATATATATATATATATATATATATATATATATATATATATATATATATATATATATATATATATATATATTGTGATCATGAACGTTGATTATTTCTTGAATGTAGATTATTTGTTGTTCACGAACGAATTGTGATCATGAACATGTGCACCTGTTTGGTTATTAAATGTTCACGAACGTGTTCATGAACGTAAACCAACATGTTCGTGAACGTGCTTGTTAACGAACATGTTTGTAAGCGTGTTTGTGCACGAACGTGTTCGCGAACGTTAACAAATACGTTCGCGAACATGTTCGTTAATGTAAACGAACACGTTCGTGAACGTGTTCGCAAACGTTAACAAACACTAATGAACGCTTAACAAACGAATACGAACAGGATTTTCAAAAACCTTAACAAACGAACACGAACATGAACACTCCAAAATTCTTAACAAACGAACACGAACAACCTCCGTTCGTTTATGTTCGGTTCGTTAACAGCCCTACACATGCTAAAACACTTCCAAGCATAAACACATCAAAAACTCATAGTTTCTACTCATTTCTACTCAAAACTCGGCTTCACAGAGCCAAATTTAAAGAGGAATCCATGGGATTATACCTCTTGTAGTCTAATCTTCTTGCTTGGATCTCTTCTTCCTCTTGACCTAGCTTGAGCCTCCTTCACCACCTACACTTCCCAACACACCTTCTATCCTTAGCCTAGAACCTCAAAGACTAAAGAAAACTAGAAGAGAAAAGAGGCTAGAATGAAGGATGAACAAGCTTACTAGGTTGTTGTCTCTCTTCTTGTTCTTGGCAGACAAAAATATGAGGAAGAGGCAAAGAATGAGATCAGGAAAATGAGATGAAATAAGGGGGTTTATATAGGGTTCAAAACCCTAGGATGATTCACAATGATTGGTTGAGGACAAAGGGGTAATTTCTCAAGCTAAAAGATGAATCAATAAGGGATTTTGGATGTCTTGTGGTCCACCATGTAACATGAACCATGGGCTAGAAATGTTATCTTTTATTACTTTGGGGCTGAAAGTGAATTTTCCCAAAAGCTATATGGATGAGCACTTGTTCAAAATTCCCTTTTGAATTCTCCCGGTCTCACTCAGATAAAATTCTCGATTTAAATCTTGGTACGCGAAGTACCCGAAAACTTAGGGATTTTCGAATGGGATTCATTTCTTCGGTGTCGAATTAATTTTAAAATGCGACAAAATTGTTTTATTCAAACAGCGATTGATCGCAAAAAAATTTAATGGAGTGAAAAAGCTACTTTGGGATTTCTTAATACTGAATATATAAAATGAAATTTGGGGTTGTTACACGTAGCTAGTATGTTGAACCCTAGTTTCTCTAGCTTTGACTGATTTGTTGAACGCTCCTGATGAATTATTAAATTTGAACACTAATTTCTTATGAATAGCTAGTGTTTTGAACCCTAATTTCTTATTAAATTTGAACCCTAGTTGACTGATTATATTTTTTATCTTTTCAAATTTTTTATGTAAATCCACAAAAGCATATTGCACAAATCTTGTATGCACATTGTTTAATTCACTTAGCTACTTAAGGAATGAGAAAAGCATTCTGCTGATTAAAGCTTTATGGTTTATTTGAATTGAGAAGAATGAAAATTTGAGTAAACTTTACTTGTGTTCGGATAAAAATAGGATCATAGACTAGACACATGTTTTGTTTGAATTAGAAAAATCTTCTGCAGACTACACACAGTTCATAATCATAAATTGAAGCAGTCTCAAGTAGTCTTTCATATTTTCATATAATATACTTGGATTTAGAGGGGTGTGAGTTGTATATCATGAGTTGATGATTGGGATTAGGGAATGCCACAAGCAAATATTTGTTGGTCATGTAAATTAAATAAAAAAAAAAAAAAAAAAAAAAAAAAAAAAAAAAAAAGAAGTAATGGGCCTTTTTGATAATTTGGAGTGTTGTATGAAATTTGAGTTGGCAAGCTCCACCTTAATTTCCAAGAGTTGTTTCTCTTACTTCTATTTATTATAAGGATGTCCAATGGCAGATCTGATGCTGTTTTATTTACTTTATTATCTGTATTATTCTTATTTCAGATCCTAAATCTATAAAGGCATGTCTGCCTAGACAGAATATTTATATCTTGTATTTTTTTAACCATAAATTGCATGTTAGTCTGCTCTTAACAATCCAAGAATAAGAATGTTTGTTCTGAATTCTCAAGGATCTTAACATGTTGTTTGCAGTGTATTTGTATCCATTGTGAAGAGGTTGCGCGTGTCGAAAACCTCAGAACTATCTACTCCAAAGTTCAAACCGTGAGTTAGATTTCATCCTGAATCCACATTGAATTATATTTCATCCTTAATTCTTTGTTTAAAGCTAAATTCATCAACAACTTTTTCATGGACCAGCCTTATATGTCAAATATTGTTTACTGTTATCTAGGATTAAGAGTTGTTTCTTTAAGATAAATTAAAGAACAAATTGCACTTTTGGTCCTGTGACTATTAGGGTACTGATAATTTGAGTACGTGACTTTCAAAACTCTCAATTTAAACCTTTAACTACGCAATTATTAGCATATTTGGTCCTGCTGGCCAAATATTGCCGGAAAAATATAATTCTTTTAAAATTATTTATTTATAAGGGAAAAATGGTCATTTAACGTCATTTCTTCTTCCTCTTCTTGCGTCTGCGGAAAAGCAAATCCCCAGCAACCACGGGAAAAGTAAAACCCAGAAAACCCACCGGAAAATCCACCTTCATTCAAAGGGAAAATTATTTCTTCTTTTTTTTAAAAAAAAAATAGTTTTAATTATTTCTTAATACTCCATTTTTAACTGCGTTTTGGTGATCCGGTCGTCTTCATGGTGTCGCGGGACGAGTTCGGAGCACAGGAAGAGGTTCTCCGTGGAACAGCGGACGGCGACGGACTCGGTGTCGCAGTTGTTGCAGATCTGCGACCGAAGATGCTTCCGGGACAGCGCGTTGGCGGCGTGCACATGCTGGTAGCATAAGGGGGAAAAAAAGCGTTGGACTGGTTTCTTTCTCTTTCATCGAAACACTGAATCGCGCCTTTCATCGGAACCTTTTCAAGTGCGGTTGAGAAAGGATCAAAATCCTTCCTCTGGTGGCACGGTGAGAATGCCTCCTTAATCCTTTGCTTCGGCGATCGCGAAGAGTCCGACGGTCTCCTCTCGTACTGCAACCTCGGTGACGGCTTCAACGGCTTAATCTTGCTGTCGTCGAACAGCTCATCTGCCGCAGAGAAAGAGGATTTCTCCAACTGCCCACTAAAATCAAAAGCGAACTCGTCATCATGGTCATAATCATCATCATCGTCTTTGGGCTTCGGAATTCCGGGCTCCTCTTCGCAATCAAACAAAATTCCCAAGAAACCAGTCCGACGCGTTTTTTCACTTGCAATGAGAGTTTTGAAAGTCACGTACTCAAATTATCAGTATCCTAATAGCCACACGACCAAAAATACAATTTGTTCTAAATTAAACTTTAAGATACATGTAGATGCAAACTGCAATAGTGCATTTCACTGCAATGCTTAACAGAGCATATATAGGTGGCATTAAAATAGATAAAATCACCTTCTAAATCTTCATTCTGAATAGTAATATCTTGGAAGCCACCTTAGCACCATTGAAACCAACTCTGCCTAGCATTGAAAGAAAATTCATCTTTAAGTGAATCAAAATTTAAGAAAATATGAAACCTAAACAAAGCATCAAACTAGGAAAAGAAGATATTTACATGTACAGGGCCTTTGTCTGAAAAAGATAGTAGTGATGGAAAGTGCTCCTTCCATAAACTTAAGCTTTCCCTCCTTAATATCTGTAGTGTAGAAAGCACACCAATAGTCTAGGACTTTATATATAAACAGTATAAAACTTTTGCAATGTTATGACAATGAAATCAACATCATAAAAATTAAGGTTAATCTGCTATTTATTATTCAAAAGTTGCACACAAATAACAAATTGTAAGTGTTTGCCTAAACAGTTTGACTATTCCATAGATAGAAAAGCATGAATTCCTTGAGCCAATCTCGAGAAGAGCTTAAACATAAGACCACCCTAAACATACAATACAACAAACTAGGCAGCAACAAACATCCGAATGGCTAAACAAGCAAGTCTTGTCCAAAATATCTCAACAAAAAAAACAGCAAAAGCAATAGACTTACCTAAAAGAATTCATATTTAATTTTATTGTATAATTCTAATGCATTTATTATACAACACATACAATGAGCAAGAAAAAAAATTACCTAAATAATGTGAAAAAGATAAATGATAAATAATGTGAAAAAAGATAATAAAATTATAATGCCATATCGATAATATCTAAATAAGGACTAATTTGATTGCTTCTTTGTTGCTTTTTCTATTGCATAATTATTACTTTGAAAATCATGATAATATGTGTAAATATATAGGCATCTATAAATAAGTAATATGGATAGAAGTTGGATGTATCAAAGACGAACTCAACGTGGTGATCTCAATCAAGATTTTATAGACGGATTGAACTGTTCAAGCATACACATTGTAACACACCCGATTTTCACAACTTTTAAAAACCAATTAAAGCTTAAGAAAAGGATAAAGACTACGCATTAAGTCAAGACAAAGCAGAAGCTACTTAAATAAGTACGGGAGATGTTATGCCAGACCTATACATCTATAGGTGCACAGGCTAAGTCTAAACAACACAACCAAGTCAAGCTTATACAAAACCATGGCTCACAGGCCAAAAGTCTAACAGAAACAGTCATAGGGAGCTACACTAACTAACGAACTGCTAGCACGCTCTCCAAAAGCTACTCATAACCTGTAAAGCAACATAAAGATAGGGGATGACACCCGGTCAGCGAACATTGCTGGTAACCCATCAATACGTATTAAATAGCATATATAGATAGTATAAGTCAAAACCATTTTCGAAACGGAATACAGTATATATCATTTCAAAGCCATAGAGAGAAGTCAACTTCAAAGACTCATTTTCACTCTCAAAGGAAAGAGGAAAATCAACATCACATGACAACAACAAGACAAGAATAACAATTATAAACAATACAACTCGAGATGTATTCTACTGATCACAAAGTAGAATACATCAAGACATGCTCATAACAAAGAATACACATTCACATATTGTCAACTACATGCCACAGTGACAACTACATGTCACAAGATTCACACGGTTCCGACCTTATGCCCTGTTCCAACCTTATGGCTACCACCGGCCTTATTACAGTTCCAACCATTACCTCCGAGTAACCCCTGTACTTCTGAGTCCAACCTTATGCCCTCGGGAACCGTCGTTCCCCCACCAACAACCACCAACATTTCCACCAACATATCAGTACACGAGGGTACAATTCATATCACACAACCACCAACATATGAGCCTTTGCTCAGGTAACAACCACCAACATATAAATCATCGCCACACGAGGACTGCATCAGTACCTTGAAGATTAAGGCCCCATAACCTTAATCATGCAGTCAAGGTACAACGACTACATACGTTTTCATATCACAGGAATCAATCAATGGATCACAACAAAGATATGAAACTATACTCAACAAGGAAGGATCACAATCCGACACCAAAACGATTGTCAACACAAGTTGCCAATCTCACAAGGAAAGGACAAACCACACACACTAGCATTTCAACATCAAACTAGCATGCTTATCAAGCGGGTAAACCAAAAGTAGTTCCTTAGAACATACAAGACTCACATCAATCCAACGAATCACAAAGTTGGACCACAAGCACGATTCAAGACACCAAATCCTACATGGATTCCTATCATACCGTTCTAGACATACGAAACATCAAGAAGACACTCAAATAACCCAATAAAACAACATCGGGAGGTCAAAACATCAATACCGAGTCAAAAGAATCACGAGGAACAAATCCCCGACCATCAACAACAATGTTCCCCGCAGGTGGAGCCACGGGTGGACAACCACCTGTGGTTCCGCCCGCGGGTACCAAGGCCTACAACATACGTACCCCGCGGGTGGGGCGGCGGGTGGAGCTCTGCCCGCCGTTCCGCCCGCGGGTACCGTCCTGTACACCAAATAATCCCTTCGGGGATTTTCAACAACAAGTCCAAATTCAAGTCCAAAATACCCAAAATTTCACACAATACAATATGACTTGAACCCAATAAACAGCCAAGCAATGGCATACAAGAACCCTAAGAACAAGCTCTAAACATGCATTAGCACAAGACACTGCATCAAATCTCACATTTCAACACAAGAATCACAAGTAGAAGCCAAGAAATCATCATATAAATAAGAAAAATAGGTTTTGTAAAGCATGTGTTACCTTTGTAGCCTAAAACTTCACTTTCTCACTCTTAGAAAGCTTCTCCTAAAGCTCTTCTCCAACACCAACTTCATAGACATACCAAAAGACAACAAAGATTCTATTTTTAGAAAAAGACAACTAAAAGGATGCTAAAAACACCAAGAGATCAAGGATCTTACCCTCCCCTATGCTCAAGCTTAGGAAATTATGAATCTTGGAAGACAACTTGTAGGATTTAGGATGCCCAAATTTTGGCTTGAAGAAGAAGCTACCAAATTCTTAGAGAGAAGGTAGAGGTTTTGTGTTTAGAGTGTTGGTGGATGAAATGAAAGGATGATGCTAGGTTAGCTTGGAGCACAAACTTTAGGTAGAAAGACTCCTTTACCCTTACTAAAGTTGGAAGAATAAGGAGGCAAGGGAACAACTCACTAGACATAAGGTACAACTCTTTGACTTGGATTGACTAGTCAAATTCTAGTCCTCCGACTATTGAATTTTCAGGATTTAGGAATAAATTAACGATAAGACTAGGATTAATTATCTAATTAATCCTAAATTAGAGTTTGGATTTACGGGGTGTCAAACACATACCAAACAACACGATGGGCAAACATTCATAGCTGAAAAAGTCAAACAAATTCATGTAAGTTTAATTTATTTTAAGTTTTTAAAATATATATGCCTTTACATATATTTTGTACTAAATTTCTTACATATTTTAGGAACAAGTTGCATCGCAACGGGAGATGTTGGCAGAAAATGGGAAGCAGGTGGATGATAATCAATTATACTATGACGCGGTTGGTGGACACAACAAGAAAAAAAAGAGTTTATGGACTTGGTTCATATGGTTGTTCTGTTGTTAATGGTCCAACTAATGATAACACTTCTGGCAATATGACCCCAACATCGTGACCACCCTACAATGCTACTTTTGCAAATGAACAAGATGAAATTCAAAGTTTGAACGCTATTATTCTCCTTATGCAACAACGACTTGATGCTATTGATGGCGAGAGAGCGGGTACTTCATCATCACCTCCATCTCAAATCAATTGATTTTAATGGATGTTTGTTAGGACTATTACAATGTTATTTAGACTTGAATTGACTATTATTATGTATTAAATGTGGATTGATAATGTATTATTATGTTGTTTAGACATGAATTGACGATTATTATGTATTAAATGTGAATTGGTAATTTATTATTACTTGAACTTAATTTAGAATTATGTTATCTTTTATTTTAGAATTAATAGTATTTTTTATTTTAATATTTTAAAAATATTCATTACTATTTAAAATCATAATTTTATTTTAAAATAATTAAAAAAAACGCGACGGAATATAAGATTTCCAACGGAATATTTGTTGCAAATGATGCGATGAAATTACGACAGAAAACATTTTTGTCATGTTTTTTGCGACGGAAAATATAATATGGTGACGGAATATTCGGTTTAGAAATGGCGACCGAATTGCAACGCGAATAATTCCGTTGCGAAATGTGCGACGGAATCGCGACGGAAATTTTCCGTTGCGAATTGGCGACGGATGTATTCCGTCACCAAAATTTGCGACGGAACTATTCCGTCGTCTATCAGAATACGACAAGGCAATAAGACGACGGAACAAATTCCGTCGCCATTCCGTCGCAAAACGCGATTCACGATTTTTCTTGTAATGAATGCACACTTCTGACTAGACACAATCAGTATTTACCACGCACACCAACATAATATTTCTTTTTCTTTTCCTTCGATAGGATCACAAAAAATCTTCATCCCTAAAAATTAATTTTCTTCTCTCTTTATTTTCTCTTCCCTTCAACTAACCTCTTTCTTCGAAGTAAGCCAAATAATTAATTTAAAAAAAAAAAAAAAAAAAAAAAAAAACTCTTATGAAGTTGCTCTAAATAATATTGATTAAAGTTATTCATATAATTAATGTCATCCACCCTTTGCACTGAAAAAAAGGAGTGAATTCCATTTTTGGTCCTACTGTTATTGGGGTCTTTCCAATTTTAGTCCATCATAATTTTTTTGCCACATTGCACCCACTGTTAATAAAATCGTTCCAATTTTAGTTCACGTTAGACTTTCTGTCAATTGACTGTGTAATTCAGGGGTACTTTCGTCTTTTTATGTTTCTCTTCTCCATTACCCTTTCTATGTAGAACAGGCGATCCTCGATGGTGTCGACGTGCTCTCCATGTCTCTCGGCGGCAGCTCCGTTCCCTACTACAGCGACACAATCACATCGGAGCGTTTTCCGCTATGGAGAGAGGAATTTTCGTTTCATGTTCCGCCGGGAACAACGACCCAATTAGGTCTTCTGTCGCTAATGTCGCTCCCTGGATCATGACCGTCGCGCCGGAACAATCGATCGCAACTTTCCGGCATACGCAACATTAGGCAACGGAAAACGATTCACCGGAGTGTCGTTGTACAGTGGGAAAGGATTGGGAAACTTCGAACGGATCCATCCTCCTCGAAGTGACAGAAGAGAATGGAATCGTCGTCTCCGGCGGCGGTAGCTTTGGCGGACGAAGGAGTAAGAAGCCATGAAATTGGATAGGTTGGAGAGGCGATTGTCGAAGCTGAAGAAGATGAGAAGCATGTCATCACTGTTGACGTTTGCGGAGGTGTGAAGGCTTTTCACGATCTGCTGCGCATTTTATACAAATTACAGAGTAATAGTTAATGAAAAAAGAGCAAACAAGGTCAGAATTATTCTAATTTCTTTTACAATTTTACCTGCAGATTCAACCACTGCTATAAATTGTAGCAAGATTTAATTCAAGATTTGAAATTTTTTTTGCCTATTCAATCACTGCTGGTAATTTTTCAAGAGGTCCAAATCCTAAATCCAAATTTCATTCGCAATATTTCTTGTGTGCTAGAGGATTTGTAGGGCGTAGGATTACAAAACACCAACGCAGGCGGAGATGTTGAGGTTGGTGCCACCAAGTTCATCGTGGAAAAGTTTAAAGGTGAAGAACATACCATGGAAAGACAAAAATGCCCCTGAATTTGACAGTCAACACACAGCAAAACTAACGGAGGACTAAAAGTGGAACACGTTCAATAATAGTGGGTGCAATGTGGCAAAAAAAATTATGGTGGACTAAAATTAGAAAGACCCCTACAACAGTAGGACCAAAAATGGAATTCACTCGAAAAAAAGATATAAAGAGAGATAAAGTGAGAGAGAAAGGGGGGCAATCTTGGCATCCTTCATCCATCTCCTGTCATATATATACTGTGTATATTGACTATATTCATCTATCCCATTACGAAAGAGTTCTGAGTCTTCTTCTTCTCCTCCTTCACTCGCTTATCTTTCTTCTCCTTCACATCTTTCAGGTTTGCAGCTTCTCCTCTTTCTGTCTTTGCTTTTCATTTTCTTTTCTTTCTTCATCAATCAATCAAGACAAATTCTTACTTTGATTGATTGATTAGCTCATCGTGTGATGTTGAATCGATTAAAACACGTCACAACGAGAATTCGTGTAGAATTGCTTTGGATTTGAACTGAATCGTTAACTGTTTGTGTAAGTTGCAGGAAGAGGGATAGATCGCCATGTATGTGATAATAATATCAGTGCCTATGATCATTTTGCTGCTCATCATCGCCATTGCTTGTTACCTATTTGGAAGGTCAAGAGGCTGAGGTTGATCGCCAATCGTACGATCAGGAGGGTACGCTCCTTTCTATGCTCCCTGCACCTCGCCATACTGAATCATCGTGTCGTCTATGTTTTTTTTTTTTTTTTTTTTTTTTTTAAATAGAAAATTTATGTCAAATTTATTTTATTTCGTATATATTACTGGAGTATGAGTATTATATTCATACTAAAATCGAAAATACAGTTGCACTATATATATACTAAATATAACTTTGATTCATAAGGTATTTTTGACAAGAGCAAATTACACTTTTGGTCCTGTGACTATTGGGGTCTTGTTAATTTCAGCACTCGACTTTAAAAACTAACAATTTAGTCCTGTAACTATGTAATTTTTTACACATTTAGTCCACCCAGCCAAATCACCGGCCAAATGTGGCCGGAAAATTGTAAAATCATTTTAATTTGTTTAATTCAAGGGCAATATGGTCATTTCATGTCATTTCTTTTTTTTTTTTAAGGTTGCCGGAGAACAACCATTTTCGAGCTTAGTTGTGGTGTTAGAACTCAATAAACAAGTGCATTATAGTATTACAAAAATGGAAAATCGAGGCGAAAAACAGACTCTATAGCCCAAACTTCATGAGCTGCAATGCAGTAATTGATCAAAACACGTGATTGAGGAGTTTCACATTCAAAGAAACGAAAGATGTTCAGCAGATTTCCTTCTTCCTAAATATGCACAGAATGTCGGAATCTCGTATCTATTACAGCAGCAGAACTCCGACGAATACCCTCCAATCCATAGGAAATTAACAGAGCAGCAGAACAGTCCAACACACGTGGAATGTACATAATAAGAAGCAGAAAAGATGTTTATAATCAATAGAAACGCGGCCTTTCTTAGAGCGAGAGGTGCGAAGTCTTTGAATGCTTGGCCAAATGTTTTCGACTGGTTGGAGAACTTCACAGCATCACGTACAAATTCATGACCAACAACTAGAAGGTGCAAGGAAGAAGAAGAAATAACATGAAATTACCATATTGCCCTCGAATTAAACAAATTAAAATAATTTTACAATTTTCCGGCGACATTTGGCCGGTGATTTGGCCGGGTGGACCAAATGTGTTAAAAATGACATAGTTACAGGACTAAATTGTTAATTTTTAAAGTCAAGTATTGAAATTAACAAGACCCCAATAGTCTCAGGACCAAAATTGTAATTTGCTTTTTTTGACAATTATAATTTTATTAAGGAATTTATGATTGTTACGGAGTATATAAGAAATTTATGGCGTGGATGAAATGACGTGCTAGATATATCCATGTTGTATATATTTTAATATATTTGTAAATTGAGGACATACATTTTATAATTTTACAAAATAAATATATGATTTTTTTAATAAATTTTAAATTCAAATGTAACTAGAACAGTGTGTTAACGGAGCAACGCTACAGACCTCCTGTATTTTCTTTACAAATTTTCCTCCTGATATGTCATCATGCATGTAATTGATAATTAAATTTATTTATTAGTTAGTAGTGAGTTAATTAAGGGGGGTGTATTCAATCATGACTTTTGTAGAGTTTTAAAAACTTTTAAAATGATAGATTTTAATAAACTTTGATTGACTTTCATAGAGTCATTCAAAACTTTTTAAGGGGGGTGTATTCAATCATGACTTTTGTAGAGTTTTAAAAACTTTTATGAACTTTAAAAGTTTAGATGTATTAAATTTAAACTTTTAGAGAGTCTTTAAAAGTTAGGCGGTATTCAATCAAGATTTTTAAAGAGTCTTTAAAAGTCGTGTGGTATTCGATTAAGACTTTTAAAGAGTCTTTAAAAGTCATGTGGTATTCAAAAAGTTATGAACTTTTGTAGACTTTTTAATTTTAGGACTTTTGTAGGCTTTTCCTTCTCAAATATACATAGTTGAAATCCAACCATCAACCCCAAGATTTCAAAATTTTCTTTCTAACAACTCTGAATGTTTTCTCTCTCTATTTAAACTCTATTTTTCTCCATATTTAAACTTTATAAATCTATATAAATTTAATAAAATTATTCTTTTTCTTCATTATCCTATATTTTCCTCATACCTAAATTTGCTTGTTTATATTGATTTTTATTTTTTCTATGAATTTTTCATCCCTAACTTTCTCTAATTCTCCCTAAATACATGAACAAAGTAAAATTTTCATCGTCAAATTTTAGTATATGTTTCATAATATTCATATATATAAATACTATATATTTTGATTTTGAACTTTTTATGTTTATATTCGTAATATATATATATATATATATATATATATATATATATATATATATATATATATATATATATTTTAAACAACAGTTTACTACGAATAGCGAACTACTGTTCGCACTTCGCAACAACAATTTGGGGTTGCAAACAGTAGCACCTTGTTGTTGTTCACAGTCTCAAATTGCTATTGCAAATAATGGTTCTTTGCGTGCTGCCTAGCAATATATGAAGTATAATTTTTATATATATTATTAATTATTAATATTAGATTTTAATTTTTTTATTTTATGGAACTTGTAATTATATTTTTAAATATTTTATTTGATCAATTCTTTTATAATAAATTTTATTGTTCAATATTGTTATGAATTTATAATGAAATAGTTTTTTTTTTATTATGTTTATTAATAATATATATAAGTAATTAGCATATAAGTCTCAGCATACTATGGATAAAAATAATAATGTTGAGAATGTTGTTGTGAGTGAAGAACTATATAATAAGAAGAATTTTATGATATATTATAAATGTTTTGTAAAAAAAATTATAAATGATAAAGAATCAAAATTATTGAAAGTTTGTAAGGATGTATTCAATTTAGAATTTCAATGACTTTTGTAGACTTTTTAAAATAAAAAGTTGATAAAAGTCTATGAATGTTTTTTATATAGACTTTTATAGAGTCTTATAAAGTTTTGAACGACTCTATGAAAGTCAATCAAAGTTTATTAAAATCTATCATTTTAAAAGTCTTTAAAACTCTACAAAAGTCATGATTGAATACACCCCCGTAAAACTTTATAAGACTCTATTAAAGTCTATATAAAAAACATTCATAGACTTTTATCAACTTTTTATTTTAAAAAGTCTACAAAAGTCATTGAAACTCTAAATTGAATACATCATTACAAACTTTCAATGATTTTGATTAATAAACTTTCAATGATTTTTATCATTTATAATTTTCTTACAAAACATTTATAATATATCATAAAATTCTTCTTATTATATAGTTCTTTACCCACATCAATATTCTCAACATTATTATTTTCAGCCATAGTATGCTAACACTTATATGTTAATTACTTATATATATTATTAATAAATATCAACAAAAAAAAAAAACTGTTTCATTATAAATTCATAACAATATTGAACAATAAAATTTATAATAAAATAATTGATCAAATAAAATATTTAAAAACATAATTAAAAGTTGCATAAAATAAAAAATAAAAATTTTATATTAATAATATATATAAAAAATTATATTTGATATATGGCTAGAAATCACGCAAAGAACTATTATTTGCAATAGCAATTTGAGACTGCGAACAACAACAAGGTGCTACTGTTTGCAACACCAAATTGTTGTTGCAAATAGTAGTTCGCTATTCGTAGTAACCTGTTGTTAAAAAAAAATAAAAATATATATTACGAATATAAACATAAAAATAATAAAAATCAAAATATATAAGTATTTATATGAATATTATGAAATATATACTAAAATTTGACGATGAAAAAATTTGCTTTGTTCATGTATTTAGGGAAAAATAGAAAAAGTTAGGGATAAAAATTCATAGAAAAAATAAAAAATAATATAAACAAGCAATAATGAAGTAAAAATAATATTATTTTGAATTTTTAGAGGAAGATTGTAAAGTTGAGGAGAGAGAGAAAAATTGGTAGAGTTTGGGTATGAGGAAAATATAAGATAATGAAGAAAAAATAATTTTATTAAATTTAGATAGGTTTATAAAGCTTAAATAGGGAAAAAAAAAATAGAGTTTAAATAGAGAGAGAAAACATTAAAAGTTGTTAGAAAGAAAATTTTGAAATCTTGGGGTTGATGGTTGGATTTCAACTATTTATATTTGAGAAGGAAAAGTCTACCAAAGTCTTAAAATTAAAAAGTCTAAAAAAGTTAATAACTTTTTTAATACTTTTAAAGACACTTTAAAAGTCTTAATCGAATACCACACGATTTTTAAAGACTCTTTAAAAATCTTCATTGAATACCACATTGACTTTTAAAAACTCTCTAAGAGCATCCACACTAATGGATAATGTGGAGTTATTTCAGTTTGTTTTCTTCCCATGTAGAGATAATAACTAATGTGAGGGGGAGATAATTTAGAAATAATTGTCCTGCAAGTGTAGGCATAATGTCAGAAAATTTTTTTTTTAAAAAAAAAAAAAAAAAAAAAAAAAGAAGAAGAAGCAAGGCTGTGCGCGTTTCGCGCACAGCCTGGGCAAAAGCCGGGCGCGTGCACTGCACGCGTCTGATTACTTATTTTTTTTTTATTTTAATTTTTTTTTTGTTTTGTTTTTTCTTTTTTTTTTCTCCCCTCCCACATTCTCTTTCCTAATCACTCTTACATTATCCCCTCATTCTCCCCAACCAATGTGGATGCTCTAAAAGTTTGAATTGAATACCTCCAAACTTTTAAAGTTCATAAAAATCTTTAAAACTCTATGAAAGTCATGATTGAATACACCCCCTAATTTATTGGCACCCAATAAATAAAACTCACATCATGAAGAGAAAATTTGGAAGTGAAATTTAGGAGGGGACAAAAGCATTTTCCGTTTAATACGATGAACATAACATACAAACTTGATTAACTGCAACTTGTATATGTAGTTAATTCTTTTTTGTTTTTTTTTTTTTTTTCACATGTTTCCCACTCCTTTGATAATTTAAAAAAAAAAAAACTTTTATAAGAAGCATTGTTTTTCTACTTGGTATTTGCTTTTTGGAAAAGAAATTCCGTGAATGAAAACTGGCATCTAAGAAAACCACCAAAAATGCTTCATATGTAAGTAAGCTCACAAAAAGGCATCAGTATTCTTATTCTCTCTCTCTCTCTCTCATATTTTCTTCAAATCTCACATAGCAGAAGACAGACAGACAGACTTTGATTGCGAGTTTTGCCGATTAGATTTTGGGGGAAGAGATCGAACTGTGAAGAGGTATGTTCTCGCTGCAGTCTGCTTTTTTTTTTTTTTCATTTCTTTTAAATTTGTTCATTTATTTATTTCCTTTTGCTCCCGCTTTTTCCAAAGTTACTTTCTGGTTTCTGCTATTCTGCAACTCTTCTTACATTCTCCATTTAAAAAGTAGGAAAATGACTTCTATAAAATGAGTCATTTTTCAGAAAATATTTTCCTTTTTAGTGTTTAACTACACAACGGAAAACTATCTTTGTGTATTTGGTTCGTTTTCCAAAATGAGTAAGAAAATATTTTCATTTCTAGTGTTTGACTACACAACGAAAAATTATCTTGTGTATTTGGTTCGTTTTCCAAAATGAGTAAGAAAATAAAAAGAGTTGAATACTTCAATATTTTAATTGTTTGATATTTTTGATAAAATCCTTAGCACTCTTTTGATATATATATATTTATACACACAGGCTATACTAACACAGTAATATATATATATATATATATATATATATATATATATATATATATATATACACCACCGAGTAACATAAATATATATAATATTAACATTTTTAAAAATTAATTTTTTAAAAAATTTTTAAATACGAAAAAATTAATAGTATTTTTAGACTTTACTTACTTTTTTAAAACTTTGAATTAAAAAAAAAAATAAAAAAACAAAAACAAAAAAACAAAAGTTCACGGACCAGCTCTCGGGGCCCGCCAACCCGCATGGGGCGAGCTATGGTTGCATGAACCCTAGCCTATGGGTTTGGTGGACCGACTCATAAAAGGCAACAAAAAATAAGCCCGAAAATTTTTGAATGCATACCCTTTAGAAAATGACTTCCAAAAAAAAAAAAAAGTCATTTTCTTTCAAAATATACTTATTTTCCTTTTACTAAGACATCACTTTCCATTGACCTCATTTTCCTTCCTCTTACTAAATATTGAAAACTCAACAAATATTTTTCAGAAGTCATTTCTCGAATTTTAAAACGTCCCCTAAATTGAAATTTCATTCCATAAATTAGAGTAATCATTATTTTTTTTTTTATATTTATTTGGGAGGATCCGTCTTTTAGAAGAATAGAAGTCCAAATCCCAGGAATTGTCTTTTATTTTATTTTATTTATTTATTGCTTAAACATATTTTTCTGGAATATTGCAAGTTCATTCATTAATTATCAGCTTTCCATCAATATCTAAATAAATATTTCCAGAATCTCACTAAAATCCATGAGCTGTGGTCCCATTGTGATAGATAGCGTTTGTACTGGCAAATTATGCTGTTGAACCGTGTCCACATTGTAAGGTGGACATGGTTTCAAAATTGTTCATAATTATGAATATATATTTTAAAAATTATGAACATATAATTTTATAATTATGAATTTAGAATTGTGAACATAATTATGAACATATAGTTCTATAATTATGAATATAGAGATTAAATAATTGTGAATATGAAGTTTAAAAATTATGAATATATAGTTCAGTAATTATGAACATAAAGTTCTGTAATTGCGAATATAGAGTTCAATAATTATGAATATGACGTTAAAAAATTATGAATATATAACTTTGTAATTATGAACATATAGCTCAGTAATTATGAATATAAAACCATGTCCACCTTACAAAGTAGACACAATTTCATAGCATAACGATTGGTTTGGACTACGATGGATCGAAACTTTATGGGCTATCACTTAGAAATTGTTATACCATGGAATACAAAATTTTTGGATGGTAGATTCTGATTTAAAAATTATGTGTCTGTAATTAACATATAATATACTTTTAGTTAATAAATTATGTATTTATAAATAAATTGAAAACACATAATTTATTAACTACATGCACATAATTTGTTAAGTGCATATTATGTGTCTGCAATTAATTTATTATGTTCATGTAGTTTATATATTATGTACATATAGACATATATTTAACGAGCATTTACTAATTTTGCTCCCACGATTATTAGTAAAATGACAGTTTTGGTCCACATGTTTAATTCATACCATTTTCATCAAAGACTATTGTTTTAGTACCAAGTTTCATCAACGACTATTATTTTAGTGCCAAAATTCATCAGGCCAGTCACCTCTTCGTTTAAGACATGCCCAAAATATTAAATTATTAAGGGTATTTTCATCATTTTCAAATTAAGATTTCAATTTGAGCATGAATAAAGGGATGTAAGCCATAAAATCTATCTCAATTCGCAATTCTCCTGCTCAAATTAAGGTAGGATGAGGAGGAGAACTGAGAATTGAGATCGATATTAGGGCTTAAACCCCTTTATTCATGCTCAAATTGGAATCTTAAGTAGAGAATGATGAAAATGGTCTTAAAATTTTTAGATTTCGGCATGTCTTAAATGGAGGGGTGAATGGTGTGATGAATTTTTGTACTAAAATAATAGTCCCGAATGAAAATTGGTACTAAAACAATAATCGTGGATAAAAATTGGTAAAAATTAAGCATGTAGACCAAAACTGTCATTTTGATAATACTCGTGGAACCAAAATTGGTATTTGCTCTATAGTTAACATATTATTTGTTTTTAATTATTAGGCATATAATATGTTAACTGCAAACACATAATTTGAATTTTATTTGAACTAAGATCCAAAATGCAACGTAAATCTAGTATATGATATAATTTGCCATCAGTTGGTAAAGTGGGTGCAAGTTTATTAGGGCAAATTATATCGTGCATCAGGACGCACAATGCATTATGCACCCACAGAGCTTATGTGTATTATGTTAAAAGTTTATGTGTATTATGGATTATGTTAGATTATGTGTATTGTGTTAAAAGTTTATGTATATTCCACTATACAATTATGTACATACAAAATAGAGAATTTTTAAAGCGCACAAGGCATTGTGTGTATTGTGCACCCTGGTGCACGATAATTGGTTTTACTCGTATGATTTTGGTCCTGAAATGGGTTTTCTGCAAATGGTTTAATTGGTTTATTGGTTTTACTCGTATGATTTTGGGCTTTTGGCCCATTCCTGAAATGGGTTTTCTGCAAATGGTTTAACTGGCCTATTTTCAATTAGTAAAATTGATCAAACTGATTATTAAATTTCCCAAAAAATGCAATTAGACTATTAAACAAAAAAGTATAATGACCTTTTAACATGTAAAAATTAATTAATTAAATCAAAATAATCAGTTGTGTACATTAATAACAGTTCACTTATTTACGTAAGATTTTTTCATATACAATTTTTTATATATTTTTCATTAATTTATTGTTCAAATTAAATTTTTTCTAAAATTAAATGGATTATAATTATAATTTTTAAAACCAAAAAGTTTTTAAAAAATAAAAAAATTAGAGGTAACCATGATTGCCAGTGGCAGGGCCGGCCCTGGGGCAAGGGCAGGCTGGGCCCTTGCCCAGGGTCCATGTTTGGGGGAGGGCCTCATCCTATCTCTTATATATATAGTATATATGTATTGAGTATAAGTAATTTATATACATATATTTTATATTAATGTGAATTAACTTGGTTTGTACGATACTTGAATTTTAACCTCATTTATTAATCAAAAGGCCCATGATCCAATCCTTCCCTTCACGTTTTAGAATTCCTCAACTTTACTTCTTTGCTTATATTCTAATGTATATTTTAAAAATTTATTTTTATTGATATTTTGTGTTTAATACCGAGTAGTAATTTTAATGTAGTTTTTAAATATATAAATTTTCATATATTTATACGAAACATATTATGAACATTTTTTTATATTAAATATATAAATTTTTATATTAATTTTTTAATATAATTTCTAAATTTATAAATTTTTATATACTTATACTAAACATATTAAGAAAAATTGAATTTAAAAAACTTCAATCAACTCATGTTAACCAAACAAGACACGTACAAATAGGACGGAGGGGGTTATATGATATATTTTGAGATTGAATTATAAAAAAAAATTAAAAGATAATTTACTCCGTACATTTTTATGAATATCTAACCAATGTAATATAGAAGTTTTTATCATGTGTCATTGTATGTATTCAAATTATTCTAAAAAAAGTTAAAAATTTATCTATTTAAAAAAAAGTATTTGTATTAAAAAAATATTTATACAAATTATATAAATAATATAGAAGATGTGTGATTTATAATATACTTTATGTTCAAACTATTTTATCTAGATAATTATGTTTCGTATATTTTTACATTTTTTATTGCGTTTTGAAATATTTTAATTTCTTGCTCCTAATCAAAAAAGATTTTTAGCTTTCCATATGTTTGTAATTATTGTTTTATAAATTTTTAATAATAATTAATTTATTATTTATTATGATAACAATGTTATTGTTTATAAGTTTACTCGATTTTAAATTATTTATTCATTTTTATAAATTATAATATTATTTATTTATGAAGACACTTATACGATTATTTATTATTTTGCATTAAGGAAAGCACCTAGAAATATTTTTCATGATTATTGTTGTGTATGTAAAATTGTAAAAGATTTGTTAATCTTATTTAAAGTTATTGATATTAATAATTTGTTTCTTATTTAATTTAAATTTTAGGCATGAAATATATATTAATCAGGGTCCATTTTTTTTTATCCTGCCCCGGGCCTATAAAATGATAGGACCGGCACCTGGGCCAGTGGCTGCCTTTTGTCTCAAGATCTTTAGAGATACTTCGTCTCTATGATATGGATACAAGTTTCATCTCTAAATCTATGGAGATGAAGCGTCTCAATGATTTAGATGAAGCAAATTGCCTCGTCTCCATTGGAGACGAAAGTCAAGAGATGGATGGTTGCTGGCGGTTTGCTCAAACTTTTTTTTTTTTTTTTTTTGGTTCTTTAAAAAATTATAATCCATTTAATTTTAGAGAAATGCTGATTTGGAGAATAAATTTATGGAAAAATTGAAAAAAAAAATGCCACAGACAAGCAATTTCATATTAACCTGCAAAACATACTTTTTATTTTAGTGAACTAATTAGTTTTCACTCTTTGTTCATTTCAGTTATCTTTTTTTTTTTTGAAAGTTACTGGCTCTATTACATTGTAGTATCTATTCATATACTTTCTTAACCTACTGAAACACAAAGAACCAATAACACTTCCACTGAGGCTCGAACTCATAATCTTCCAAATAAAAGTCCAACCCGGGTACCATTGGACCACATAGTTCTGGTGTTCATTTCAGTTATCTATTTTCATTACTTATTGAAAATTATTTATTTTATATTTGTCCTACGCTTATTCAAAAATATATTTTCAAAAATTTTTATATGTATCGAATTTTTTTATTGTCTAGCATAGCTATAAGCATCACAATCATTCATGTTTATCAAATATATACGTGAATTGGTCAATTTCATATAAGTTAATTATATAAAATTACGTTAAATAGAATAACATTTTATACATGTAACATTATTATTATGAAAATCAAGGTTGCAAAACACGTTAGACGCCTACCAGGTGCCTTCGATTTTTTTTTTTTTAATTTTTAATTTTTAATTTTTTTTAAAAAAATTAAAACTAAAAATTTTAAAATTCAATAGTAAAATATAAGGTTCCTCTAGTTTATTTTTACAAATTATTTATATAAATGGTTGTAAAATTATTTTGAATATTGTTGAAATCATCTAACTACATAAAAATTTAAAATTAAGAGCAAAATAAGCATTTTTTGAAGAAATTAGAGGGCCAAACTGTCGCGGTGTATAGATCTCGGAAAAAATACGCGATTTGAAAAAAAAATTGTCCAAAACGGACAACCGAGTCAAAAGTTATGCCTTGCCAAAGTTTCTACACTTTTCAAACGAAAAAAAAAAGTGAAAATTGTTCGACCGGTTCAGCCGGCTAGGCGGTCTAGGCGGCCGCCTAAACCGCCTAGCCGCCCGGCCGTGGAAGAGGCTGATTCCGACCTAATTGTCCGCGGACGGGAGACGCCTAAGCTTGATTTTTACAATACTGATGAAAATGTATACATTCCGAACTTTTCGAAAAGGAGATTAAAAAAAGGTTCTTACCTTATTCATAACTAGAGACAATAAATGCTCTAGTCATTGAGTCATGATACATTCCTCTATAAAAATGAGTATATAATATTACTATATGACTGTCATTAATGTGTACGATATATTTTTTTGTTTTTAATTATTTTGTGGACTGTCCTGAACCTTAGATCTAGTGACACCAAGTTGCTTCCCCATATGAGAGGTTATGGATTTGAGTTAAAAAAAATGATTTCTTGGACTTTTTATTTAGTTCATGGTATGGTCAATGAAAATAAAATAGTTCTTTTGTAAACAATGTCATGTTAACTAATAAATATTATATAATGATTTTTAAAGAAGATGTTAAAGTATCATTTTTCAAATGCTATTTTCACTTATTAAAATTATAAAAGTTCACAGTATTCATTGAGAGTCGATTCTGTCACAAGTTAATAAAAAATCTATGTAATAATCAAATACAATTAAAAATTTAATACGATAACGACATGTGAAGAATAAATATTGGTCCTGTTTGGTAACATAGTTAGCTTTATCGGTCAATTTTGATTTATTTGACCATTATTAGCTGTTTGACTTGGTTAAACAACGAATATAACAGGGCGTTTGGTTGAAGGGAATTTAAATTCCCTTCCCAATTATCTTTTTTTTTTGTAACAGTTTATTGCTCTAAAACGCTAAAATTCAAAAAGCTTCTCAAAATAGTTTTTTTTTTTTTTTAATTAGCTTTTCGAGAAAGTTATTTTGCATGTAATTAACTATCAGCTAACAACTAATCTAAATCTAAAAACATAATAAGTGTGAATGAAATTTATACCCCTGATTTATGTCCGTTTTTTCCGTTAAGTTTTTTTGTACATTATGCTCTAAAGGTTGTACATTAAAATATTTTGGACAAACATACCCCTACCGTTATAACTTCCGTTATCTTTTCCATTGTTGTTACCATGCACATGCATCCACCATATATTTTCTTATCTTCTTCATTAATAATAATATATACACATTAAATATTTGAGTTATATGTTAATTATTACATATATATAAATATCAAATTTATAAAAATGATTTACATTATTATTATTATTTAGAATAATTTAAATATCTAAAATCTAAATAAATTTAAAATTTTAAAATAATGTATTAATATTGGGCACCTATTTTTTGCGCATCGCGCATAAAAAATACTAGTCAAACCAATAAACGCCATCAACTAACAGCTATTTACCAAACACCCTCATTTTTTTTTATAAAGAAATATAGCAATTACTTTATTTTGTTGGATGAAATTATAATCACCATTTATAATCAACTGATTATGCAGGGAAGTCTTAGTTTTATTGAGTCAAAAGCAGCAGAATGGGCTATGTTATTGTAATATCGTTACCAGTTATAATATTGTTCATTGTCACTGCCGTGGTTTGCTACCTAATCGGACGGAAACGTAGTCGTGATATAGCTGCAGGCAGATATCCTCAGCATTACGGCCCACCAGCACCGCCGCCCGCCGTCATGTCTCCGCCGCCACCGGGAAAAGGACCTTACTAATGTGTTACTGGCTGCCTTGCTTGCTTCTTTGTCCATGATTAATAATTTTGGTACTATGTGAATGGTGTGCTTGTGTAATAATAATAGTAGTAATAATTAAGGGTACTGTTATCATTTCATCCCTTTTTCCTTTTCCCACAATCATTGAATTGCAATTCATAGGAGGTGCTCATGAATTACAATTCAGCGAAAGGAGGGAATTGCAATTCTGTGGAATTGCAATTCCCTCCAACCAAACAGCGTAATAGTGGCTTCCACTGAATTGCAATTCAACTACAGCCAAATTATGCCCAACCAAACAGGTCATTAATAATTGAGAGATCAGACTTTTGATTTGACAATAAAGAAATGATAAATGTTTGTTCTACATATTGATCTTTTCATTTTTAGCATGAGTAAAGACACATATTAATATAATTTTAAGTATAAATAATTAATCAAATTGTTACAAATTCCTTAATTTTATCAAAAGAAAATTACTAGTGGCTTATAACTATTTACCTTGAAAGTGGATGAAAAATTCGTCAACTTGATAGGATGTTTGTTCAAGCATCCACTAATAGATGGAAGACTTTAAAATAAATTAAATAATAACAATAATCTAATTTTGACATTGTGATCCAGTGACATGAAGTGACTCTTCCAAATGCATAGTATGGGTTCGAGCCATACTACATTGTAACAGAGTAGGTAATACTAAAAAAAACTTAATTTTGAGATTTCAATAATTTTTTTTTTTAATCTAAAAAAAATGCTCTTGAGTCACAACATATTCCTTACCCTCAAACTTGATTTCCCAACTCGATCCTTGTTCCCTCATTTAGGGAACATATTTTCCCGACCCCATCTTTACATCTTTAGGTTGAAAATTTCACGTCCCTGCAAAATTTTAGGGATAGGGGATGTCCTACAAGGAATCCCATTTATCAATATTAATTATATTATATATAAAATTAAAAAATTCTCTCTCTAGTAAGTCTAGGGTTTTCTCTTCACTCCTAGAGTTTACTAGGTCTTTCGTTGCTTCTTCGACTTCTCTTCGATTTTCCGGCGGTTTTGGTTCGTCTGCATGGCTTCATCGTTGTCTCCTGCAGGAGTCGCTGGTCCCACCGCCCAATGGGCTGGCATGGTTCTTGAAGAAGAGGAGGCCGAGTTCGAGCCCGTCGACGTAGCTGGTGGAGATAGTGGGGTTGTCGGCGGTGAAGGAGAAACATGGGTGATTGTAGGCCGTTTTTTGACAAAGAAGATGGTAAAGGTTGAGTTTATGAGCCAGGTTGTGGCTTCTGTCTGGCAGCCGATCAAAGGTGTTCAGGTTACGGAGGTCCAGCCAGGGAGGTCCAACCAGGTCTGTTCTTTTTCATTTTCCATCACGTTACGGTTATGCAACAGGTTCTAGAAGAGGACCCTTGGTCTTTTGATAAGTACCTTGGTTTGCAAGCAGGAAACGGCTGGGATGCTGCCCGCAGATGTGGTTCTTGATTTGGTGGACATGTGGGTTCAAGTTCATGACCTGCCGTTGGGGTATACGTCGGAGATAATGCTTGAGCAGATCGGGAACTTTCTCGGAGCGTTTGTTAAGAGTGATGATAGGTTCGTGGATGCCCCATGGAGGGCTTTCTATCGTATACGGGTTTCGCTTTCGGTCAATAAACCCCTAAAACGTCGCATGAATTATTAAGCGCGACAAAACAAGCTATTAGGTGTCATTCCGTTACGAACGGCTTAATACTTATTGTTTCTTTTGCGGTATGTTGGGCCATTTGTACAAGTTCTGGCTTAGAGCGAGGAACTCGGTGTTGCCCGTGGATGAGTACCCGTACGGTCCGGAGCTTAGAGCAGGATGTTCCCGTGGACCACGGGCTGATGGTGGCAGTTGGCTCATTCCGACGGGCCAGTCGAAGTCGACAGTTAGTTCGGCTGTTGTTGTGGAGGAGGGGCAGAGTGATTCTGCCACTATACCGATGCATGGCGGTAGTCAGGTTGGAAAGCGGGAGGTGGTGGCAGTCATTAAGCGGCGTAGAGAGCAGTCGGGAGGCCGTGGTAAGAGGCAGGCTCTTGGTGGTGGTGATGTGACTATGTCTGAGGTTCCAAAAAACTTGCATCCGGCAGGTCCTGGTTCTCAAGCCCGCCCATCCTCATGAGTACGTTAAGTTGGAAATGTCGTGGCTTGGGCAATCCACGTACAGTTCGGGAAATCATGGACATTGCGTCTCATAAGAAGCTCGAGTTCGTGTTTTAATGGAAACCAAGGTGGGGCGGATACGTGCAGAATGTCTACGCGTCAAGCTTGGCTTCGAAGGACTCTTTTTTTGTTGATAATATAGGTTTGAGTGGAGGCCTGGCGTTGTTTTGGAGGAAAAATAATACGGCTCGGCTACTGAGCTTTTCGAGAAACCATGTTGACATTGTAACACCCCAGATTTTCAAGACTTTTAAAACTTATAATAAAGGTAGAATCTTATTAAATCCCAAGATATAAATACAAGCGTTCGGGGTGCTACGCCACACCTGGGCTAGAGAACCCAAGTGCACAGGATAACTAACTAATATCCTCAAAGTGTAAATACGTAAACGTGGCACGCAGGCCAAAAGGGAAACTATCTACTTCTAAGTTCTAGCGCACTCCAATGACTTAATCTTCTGTGCCTGAAAGCCAAATATATCTGTTCAGCGAGAGATGCTGGTAACCCACTCCAACGCGTTGAAATACAATACATATAGAGATATATATAGATATACGAAAACCATTATGAGCATGAAGATATATCCTACGAACTCTAGCTTTAAAACCGGGAATGACTCGACAGACAAGGCCAGACACAAGCAACAGTTATAACGAGCATATGCAGTTCACAATAGATAAGGCAGATAAGGCAAGGTATAAACAATAATCATAACCCAACATGAACAATCCCCAATATAAGTCTCATAGTCACATCCCCCAAGACACTTATAATCACAACTCATCCATATCACAACACATAACACACTTTGTTGGCGCCACAGGACCAATCGCATGCCCATACATGAGGGTCAGCGCATATAGCTCTGACACGGCCCCGCAGCACCCTGCCCCGTATCGCAACACGGAGGGGTCGATCGCAACCGACCGATGAACCGCAGCTCATCATAGTGTTTGATCGCAACCAAACAGTGGACCGCAGCCCAAGAGAATGTCATCTGACCGCAGCCAGGAAAAAGGACGAACCGCAGCTCGTATAGAAACGTTTGATCGCAACCAAACGGTGGACTGCAGCCCAAGAGTATCAATCTGACCGCAACCAGCTTCTGAACCGCAGCTCAGGATAACCAATCCGATCGCAACCGAGCTGGGGTAACACACACATAACACATAGCAAGCACATGCAACCCACATTACACATTAGGAAGGGGAAGAAAACGTATAACAAAACCTATGCGTGATCCATCACTTACTAAGAATAGTCCTAAGGGGTTCATACTTCTTCCACCTAGGTCAACGGGATACCAATTCAACTAACATGCAATATAATAGACTCATAAACCTACGAACGGTACCCGAAACATCAAACTAGACATAGGCACGATAAACGGAGTCCGTTGGGACACCACGGGGAACAGGGGAACATCAAACGGGGAAGCCGGGAACCCAAGGTGGGGGAAATTCCAGCGGGTAGCCGGTGGGTGGGGGCCACCCGCCGGAAAGTACTGTTCCGGGCAGCGGGTCGCCGGCGGGCAGCTGCCCGCCCGCCGGCTACCCGCTGCCGGGCGGTGTTTCACGGCCGTGGGTAGGGGGCGGGTAAAACTCTGTGTCCAGCTAGATCAAGTGCTATGAACTCAACTTCTATAGTTTATCCCGCTATACAGATTGTTTCGTGGATTTTCACGATACTGTCGCTCCACCCACAGTGAATACATATCCACTGGTAGAGCTTACATCACTACTGTCATTTACCCAGTTCGCATCACAGTACCCCTCTAGGGCTGCTGGAAATCCAGTATAGTGTAGTCCCCAGTCGATCGTACCCTTTAAGTAGCGTAGCACTCTCCTTAGTGCATGCCAGTGAGTGTCACTCCCATGAGTATATCGACTGAGTCTATTTACCGCAAGAGCGATATCAGGTCTGGTGTAGTTCATCAAGAACATCAGACTTCCAATTTGTTTGGCATATTCTTCTTGTGACACACCTGTCTCAGTGTTTTCTGACAGTTTTACGCTCGGATCATACGGAGTTTGTGCAGGAGTCACTTCGAAGCTATTAAATTTCCTTAATAGCTTCTCTGTATAGTGACCTTGTGATAACGTGTAGCCATTCTCAGATTTTATGACTTTTACTCGAAGTATCACATCGGCCTCCCCCAGATCCTTCATGTCAAACTTATCACATAGTGACTGTTTAGTCTCTCTTATAGCATCTATATTGTGGCTAACTATTAGCATGTCATCCACATAGATGCATATAAGCACAACACTTGAGTCTACCTCTTTTGAGTATAGACACGCATCTGATCTGTTTAGCATGTACCCCAGATCCATAAGTGTCTTATGAAGCTTCTCATACCACTGTTTGGGGCTTGTTTTAGCCCGTACAGGGATTTTATGAGTCTACATACCTTTCCCTCTTGTCATGGTTCAATGCACCCAGGTGGTTGCTCGATGTAGATCTCTTCCTCTAGATCCCCATTTAGGAAGGCTGTTTTGACATCCATTTGATGTACTTGCCAGTTGTGAGAGGAGGCCAAGGCAAACAACACACGAATTGTGGCTATTTTAGTCAAGGGGGAATACGTGCAGAAGTAGTCTTCACCAAACTTCTGTTTATATCCCTTTGCTACTAGCCTGGCCTTGAACCTTTCTATTGATCCGTCTGGTCTTAGTTTTCTTTTAAAGATCCACTTGCAGCCAATTGGTTTCGCTCCTTTGGGTAGATCTACTACTTCCCATGTGTGATTAGACTTAATGGAGTCTAGCTCACTTTGGATGGATTCTTTCCAAAAAACAGCGTCTACAGAGCGCATAGCAGCCTCAAAGGACATTGGCTCTTCTTCTAAGATTAACTGACAGACGAACTGATCAGATAGTTCATTAACGT